TGATGTCTGGCATCGTTTCTATCACCACGGCCATATTTTCCAACTACCGATCCTTCTTTGTTTCCAGCTTTCGCATTCCAATCACCAGTAATTATCAACACATCCTGACTGCATGTTCAATCCATTTCAGACTACAGAAGTTGGTAAAAATCTTCAATTTCTTCATCTTTGGTCTTATGGCTGGTGAGTACATTTGAATAATACTCGTATTAACTGGTCTTCCTTGTAGACATATGTATATTATCCTATCATTGTATTTCAGGATAGATCTTGAAATGCTCTTTATGACGATGAATGCAACGTCATTCCTCTTCAAATTGTCATTCCCAGCATAGTAGACTATAGGATTGTCCAATTCAAAATGGTCAATATCAGTCCATTTCAGCTCACTAATGCCTATAATATCAATGTTTATGTGTTCCGTTTCATTTTTGACAATTTCCAATTTTCCTACTTTCATACTTCATACATTCCATATTCTGATTATTATTGGATGTTTGCAGCTGTTTCTTCTCATTTTGAGTCATGCCACATCAGCAAATGAAGGTCCCAAAAGCTTGACTCCAGCCACATCATTAAGGTCAAATCAACTTTCAGGAGATAGGTCTTCCTCAGTCGTCTTTTAAGTGCCTTCCAACCTGAGGGGCTCATCTTCTGGCACTATATCAGACAATGTTCTGCTGCTATTCACAAGGTTTTCACTGGCTAATTCTTTTCAGAAGTAGACCACCGGGTCCTTCTTCCTAGTCTAGATGAGTCTGGAAGCTCAGCTGAAACCTGTCTACCATGGGTGACCCTGCTGGTATTTGAATACCAGTGGCATAACTTCCAGCATCACTACAACACACAAGCCCCCACAGTACAATAAACTGACAGACGTATGGGAGTAGAGCCTATTTAAAATTAAGGCACATATGGGAGACAAAAAGTTTTGCCAAATTTGCATTTGATTATAATATCAAGATCAAATTTTGTATACTTGGAAACACATTTTATTTGCAATGATAAAGATCACAGTTGGCAAGAACTGCAATTGTATAAATCTTATATTTGCATTGTCTCAATTATAGTATGACCCAAAGAAAAAGAGGCAGATTTCAGGTCATCGATGCCACAACAAAATGAGCAGCACAAATGGAAAGCCTGTATTTTATATTTTATATAAAATGGTGACCTCAAGTGCCCAGTTTAATTATGGGATCTATTAAAACTATAGTTTTGTGGGTTTTTTTTTTTGTTATAGCTGCAGGCGTTAATAACTTCAAACCCAGAAAAATGCTTTGAAAGTTTTTTTTAATACTTAAAAAATATGAAACAATATGAAAGACAATTTTAACATGTTTTTATATATATATATGTACATATATACGTATATATATATATATATATCCTATTGTCGTCGAGTCAATTTTAACTCATAGTGACCCTGTAGACACAGTAGACCTGCCCCATAGGCTTTCCAAGGAGGGGCTGGTGGATTCGAACTGCCAACCTTTTGGCTAGCAGCCATGCTCCTAATCACTCTGCCACCAGGGCTCTCTCTCTCTTTCTCTTTATATATATACATATATATATATAAAATCTACTAAAATTAATTTATACAGTCTAAAAACAAGTACTGACTAAAGGAATATATGCAATAATAAATTGAATAGTAAATTTCCATTGTTATATATTTTCCTTTCTGCTGGAAGCTATAATTCACACTATAATGAAAAATAAATCTTAGACAAGATACCCAAGTATATAAAACCGAATTCAATCCTATTGAGAGCATCTGTCTTGTTCTCATAGATAAAATAACAATTATACCTGGCAAGAACAGCTAATTTAAATTCTTTGACCATCCAATCTAATTTTGCCTTCTGTTGACCTTTTCAGTTATTGCTCTATTCTATTTTATTTTCCATATAGCACTTATCAGCATTTATTCATGTATATTTTTGTTTATTGTCTGCCCCTCGCTATTCAATATAAGCTAAATATGAAGCTTTGCCCTGTTTACCATATCATTCTCATCATCTGAAACAGCACTTGGCCCATAAAAGGCACCCACTGAAAATTTATTGACTGGAAAAATTAATAACTCATGTAAGTAATTTAAAAAAATAGAGTACTAATTTTACAAAAACTTTGACAGAATTTCTAGAAGGGTAAAAAAAATACAGATTGATAAATATTTTGTCCTTACAGAATTCTACTTTTATTAAATCAATAACATGTCTTCATTTTGCAGATATTTTCAATAATTATTAAGATGTACGTAAGTAGAACAAATGGGTAACTTTTCCTTCTTATTTACTTAACTACTAATATTTTAACCCACAAAATTCCACAAACAGAGCTGATAGGATATACCCAAGTTAGAAGGCTTTTAAACTGCTGGGAGAAAAACAACAATCAAAAAAGGAATAGAGATAGATCTTTTTTGGAAAGTTGTTTTTCTTTTCTTTATAGAAAGGGTCTGAGCTTACCCTGAAGGTGCTCAAGCTATTTATGTTATATTTATAAACAGCTGAATCTTTACAGCCTTATACTTGAAGCAATACACATTTATCCTTAGACACAGAATTTCCACCAAGCTTAAAAATCCATTTGTCAAACTAAGCGTTGCTTTTCAGTCTTCAGGTTGGGTGGTAGATCCTCAAGCTAAATAAGTAAATACTTAATATTCCTGATTCCAAGATTCACAGGTTGTCATTTGCCAAATGCAGTCTTCCATTTTGACATGTTTATCTTCTATCACAATCTCTATTATCATTCTCCTTACTGGTAAGAAAAGAGACAAACTAATAAAAAGACAGTAAGCCACCCCTTGATATTGGAGTATCAAAGACTAAATGCATTTGAGATGTGAAATCTACAAAATGTTCTCAAAACCCTAAAAATGTTCTCTTAACTGTCAAAGCAACACCATACAGATCTGCCTGGCAGTCAGATGACTATCACAGCTGATCTCTGTTGCTATGGTAGAAGGGAAAGAACCACCAATATCACTGATAAGATATTGTTTTCAAAGTTAGGATTACTAGCTAGAACACTTAGCTGCAGCAAATAACTGATTTTTTTTTTAAAAAAGAAACTTCCTTATTACATTTTAGTCTCTGTTGAAAATGTGTAGGTCAAATACGGAGCAATCCAAATGCATCTAACTTAGACAGAAAGTGCAAGCTCATTATTCTTTAGAAATTATAAAGTCCCTATCATCTGCCCCACACTACAGAGAAAAGAAGTCACAGGAAAGTAGGCAGACAGTCTCTGTCACTTCCAATATGAAGTCCACATCTTAATATTAATTAGACATTCCATAGGAATGTTAAGTCATGGTAGATGTATTTTGCCTTAATCAGTAAACTATAAAAAAGAAATTAAATTTTTTTTTCATTTTAGTACAATATATTTAGTACTTTTTATCATGAAATGTTTGATTTTTAAAAAATGCTGAGCTGAACGAGCAAATCTCTTATGGTCCCCCCATTCCCTCCAAAAGACTGGAGAGACCATCATTCATCACCACTCACGCTGCAAATAATTTAATTCCAACTCTCTTCTAGTATTGTCTCCCCTTCCTCTCTCTCATTCATTCTTCACTCCAAAACCAGATTAATTGTCCTAAAATATTTCATTATGCTATTCTTCAGCATCAAATCATTTTCTGTCTCTTGCCCCTTCACTATAAATTCCAAACCCCTTCACCTCACAGGCAAAGCCTTTTAATTTACCACCTTTCAACTTCCATGTCTCCTCTGTTACTGTTACCTGCAAACAAAATCTCCAGTCATCATCTACTTAAAAGTTCTACTCATTCTCTTTCTGAAGTCTGTGCTTTTTGTTTTGTTTAGTTTTGCTTTTTTAATAGAATTCCTTGATGCTGAAATGTCCTCCTCTCCTCCTTAAACATTTTTCTTTTAATATCCGTCCAAATACCATTTCCTCCCCAAGGGCTTCTCTGATCACACCTACTTAAAGACATCTTTTCTTTCCTGTGGAATCTCATTTTGTTCTCCATTAATCATATACTTATTTGGCACAGTTTTGGACTTATTAATAAAATTCTGCAATTTCTTTAATATTTTTGTGTGCATATATTATCTCCAAAGGTAGATTTTTAACTTCTTGAAAGCACTGTTCTTTTGTTACTATGCTTAGTATCTCCTAAGATACCTAGCACAATGTCCTGCATATAGTAAAGCATACAATTAATGTTCACTAAGTTACAGATTTCTAAAGTAGTGAAGAAGTAAGCAGGCTTTATATATGAGGAAAATGAGGTCCAGAATCATTAATGTAGCTAAAGATGATGACTGCCAGTGAAAGATCTGGTGTCTTTTGTTATTAAACACTTAATATACTTGTTCCAAAGCTATATTGTTTTGGTATTTGATTGGTTATCCCTAAGCTAAATAATTTATTAAATGCATTGATTTTAATAGTGTTGTATGCATACATGTATGTGCATATAATTGCACATGTGTATCCGAATAAAAATGGATATATGTAATCAAACATCTCTGGAGATATTGATATTTCATGGGCAACCCTAGAGAACTCCATTTTAATGATTTATAAAGTAAGAGACAACTTGCAAGACTTGTGATGACTATTGATTATTTTAAATGTAGTTTGAATCCGTGACCAATATTCTAATGAGAACCAAACACTTATAAAATACATTTTATATTCGCCATATAGCACTATAAATATATAATTATAAATTTATATTTTCCCCAAAGGTGGATAATAGCCCAATTTAATTCCTATAGTATTTAAAATGTAGGGGACAATTCCAAGTTCAATTTTATAATCAAAGTTTTAATACTCTGGTATGTAAAAAAAAAAAAAATGAGAAAGTTACTAAAAAAATAAATCAACAAATATTTTTATATCAGCAAGAAGAAACCGGGTTCCGGTTAAAGTTAGTCTGACATACATTGGAGTTATCCTTTTAAAGTATTTTATCTCTGGGCAATTTGAAGTTAATGTCACTCAGTGCCACTTACCATCTTTCAGGATGGTTTCTCGATCCGTGCCATCTATCTTCTGCCGGCCAATTAGAAAACTGGTAGTGTCAGCAAAGTAGATATAATTGGTTTCTGCATGAAAATCTAAAGCCCGAGGGTTTACCAGATTTTCTATGGGAATCATGTATTCATCAGCTATCTTGGTATTTAAGTCCATTCCTCTAACAATTCCTGGGCGTCCTTTCCCATAAAAGAGGAACAACTCATTCTTTGGTCCTGCAGAAGAAAGATTACAAACATAAACAACTGATGTTGCCTAATCTTCTTTACACTGCATAATGCCCCTGTTTAATTAACCGGCACAATTAGCGTTTTTTAAATTCAATACCAAAAGTTAAACCCTAAAATGTGCCAAATGTATCTCGACGCAAGAAGGCCAGCTAATTGCATTACTTTAATTAAAACAGAAATTTACTTCCGTGAATAGGTTATATTTAGTCAATTATTCTTTTGTCTGTAACTGTCTGTACAGCAAAAACATGACAGATCATTGAATAACTTGTAACTGTGCAAAATGGATAACTATTAAAACATCCAGCACATTTAAACTTACAATCCATTACAATATGTCTAACACTTTATGTAGATACCAAATGTAGCATTCATTATATTTGACCATGCTAAAAACTTCCGAAAATTTAAAACACAACACCCCAGAGTTTATACCTACAGACTGTCAGAAGCAAGCAAAAAGAATTCAACAGCATCACTGACTTGCATGTGGATATATTACAGTTGTCCAAACACTTGATTTATTCTTTTAAGAAATGAAATCAACTACCAGTTATAGCATCATTTTTTCTTCACATTTTAATTAGAATGTTAGAGACTGATGCTGTCTGCCAGTAACTCTGATGTACAATACAGCCTTATCAAAAACAAAACAAAACAAAACAAAACAAAAACCCATGAAAAAAACAAACAACAGCAACAGAAAACTGTCTCCTGGTTTAAAAATGCCAGAATCAAGGTAGCTTTGTCTACAGGGAAAATTGGTTCTTTCAGACTTCTGCAGAAAAATACATACAAAGCTCTCAAATTACTAGGGCATCCTATGCTTGGCGTATTCTATATAATTTTTAGGGAAACACTTGATATGAAAGGGAAAATCAACTGAGCTTTATTAATAAAACTAAGGATGCAAAGGAGTCAATTGTATTTGGATAACTACACAATTATTGAGATACTCAGTAAAGTAAAATAATTGCATTATAGAAAATATAGAAACAAAAGAAAAGCAAAAAAAAAAAGCAATGGCTCATAACCCAAACCTTTAATACAAACAATATTATTTTATATGTTTTATACCATCTTTATTTTAAAATTAGTGTTATTGGATATTAATGCATATAAATCAATATGTATAACATATCTTAATATATAAAAAAATGAAACAAACAACATGTACCTAGCACAGGTCTGATGAATATTTCCAGCACAATGTAAGGCACGGATGGATCGATCTCTCTCCCATTTCAGAGACATCCAATACCCTGATCCTGATTCTTGTCTTTATCATATATATATATAAACATATATATATATATATTTAGCATATATGCATTATATATTCCCCAACAGTAGATTGTTTAATTTTGCATGTTTGGATTGCATGTGTGAACTATTCTGTGAATTAATTTTATTCTCATTATATTCCTGAGAGCCGTCCATGTTTCTTTTGTGTGTAATTGTGGTAGTTGTAGTTCTTTCATTTTTCACTAGTGTCTGGTATTCCACTATGTGATTATTTCAAATTCAATTTATATAGCTATTTTTCTAATCCATATTTAATGATATTGAAGAGTACACCCAATTTATATTCTACTTTTAGTGTTTAAATTTAGACTCAAAATAATTTTCTATGTCGATCCATTACTTTAAGCCTTATATTCTTTTTGTTTGATACACAATAATTTACCAAATCATCCTCAGTTTTTGTTGCTGTCTCTATGTTCATTATTATAATAATACTGAGTCAAGTATATTTTTTCAACACAGTATTTTAGACATTTTCTTAGATGATCTCTTAGTATACATTTCCAGAAATAGAATTACTGGGTGAAGTGCATAAACATCCTTCTCCCTCATTGAACTCCCAGCCTCTGCTTATCAAAATTTCAAGAACACTTTCTTTTAAAATAATATTTTATATGATTATAAAAGTAGCACAGATAGATTTGAAAATCGTTAACATTTCTGATTATTTCCTCCCAATTGTGTATGCATAGCTACTTTTGTTTTTATACAATTGGGATTTATACCTGCATTTTAGTACACTATTCATTTTAACTTAATGATATTTTGTCATGTCATTAAAAGGCCTTCAAAACATTCTTTCAAACGACAGCATAATGTTCTCAGCTAGATAAATAATGTAACATGGTCAGCTACTTACCTGTTGTTGAGTATTTAGATTGCTTCTGAGTTTTTGTTATTATAAACACATTTATAATGAATTTCCTCAGTCAAAGAGGGATTATTGTCAGATAGTATTATCGGTTTTATGGCCTTTGTATATCTTACCAATGTCTCTCCAAAGTGATATCAATTTCTAATGCCATTAGCAATGTTAGTTTCACCATATACATTCTTGGTAACTTTTCTTTTTATTTTTAATTGATGTTTTTATTCGTAATTGGTAAACTTGGTACTTCATTAGTTTAATATGCCTCTGTGTGTATGTATGTGTGTGTGTGTGTGTCTTTTAAATAAGGAAGGTAAGCAAATTTCCCCATCTTTTTCTTTTACTTTGTTTTTTAGTCATAGTCGATTGCCAGTCAATACTTACTATAAAGCTTCCTCTAATGCGTCTTCCTGTACTAATGTATTCTTCTATAGCTAGGGTTCCAGTTTTTATTTAAGTACCTAAAATCAGATGCATTAGCTCAAGTCTGGAATGTGGAAATGAGGCAGGGGACTCCTTTTGTTGCTTCTGCTACATATCTAATGAAGCAATTGATATTTTTCAACAGCTGTCTTCTTCAACTCACCTTTGTGAATATGAAGAGGCAAGGCACAGGGTGTCTTTTTTTTTTTTTCCTCAGCAGGGGACTATTAGATGTGACATGTTTCTGGAACTAATATGTAGTTGTGGTGCAAACTTCCTAATCCCTCTGTCTCAGCTAAAATGGTGTGTGTTTGAAGTTAACATTTCCTTTTGTGGCTTCCTGATGAACCAGATTCTAATTGTAGCAGATGTTCCAGTTTTCTTGCCAGGACAGTTTGATGTTGTTTTTTGGGAATGTTCTGAAGACCCAATCTACAAGCTGCTACTCTAGGCTTTCCAGTGATTTTGTAAGTACCAGCTAAGTCCGTCAAATCCCATACCTGGTTAAAATAGCTAGAATTGTTTCTGTTTACTATAAATGTGTTTTGACTGATACATTAAGTTAGGGATGACCGAATCATATACAACTCTGACGTTACGTTTTCACTCCCAAACATTGCATGTATGTATGCATGGATGTATGGATATGTGCATGTGATTGTACTTTTACAAGATCTGCCATCACTTTTTAAGTGGCAGTAAAACCACTCACACATGCACGTGTGCGTGCACGCACACACACACACACACACACACACACACACACTGCTTTTCCTATCTACAGGCTTACCACCCAGTAATCTCAATTATCCAGAAAGTCTCAGGAACACGAGACATAGTATCTTTACATTCCCAGTACTCAGTACAAAATCAGAAATGCAAATCAGAAATGTAAACAAAGTACTAAAATGCATATACTTTATCACAGTTGTACCTCTTCAGTTCTTAATTAGAACTATTTGTACTATTAATTCTAAGCAATTTAGATTAATTCTAAATTTGGATTAACTCTAACAAATTTTGTGGTCTCATTTCACAATCCTCAGGAAGCACATGGCAGGAAAGTGAATAGATGGCAGAGAGTAGTCAGAGAGGGAACACCGACAGAAATAAAAAGCTGTCAGTATGACAAAGGTAGAGACAAAATGGGCGCTGTAAAAAGCAAGCATCATAACATAAAAATTATGGTAATTGGGGGACATTTAATATAAAGACCAACAGTCTCCACATGGATCCCATTTCTACCAGGGCCATTCAAAAATACCTGACTATGAAAACTTTAACTAAAGACTTTAACTACTTTTTGTGTAATGTGTTAAACTTCTAATAGTCTTTCATATATATATATATAAGCATTCGTTTATTTA